AACCCGGCTCTCGGTCCTGGCTGAGGAAACCTTTGGCTGTCACCCTGTCACATCGTGACCGTGGCCTTAGCGGTGGCACCTAGGCATCATCGGGGACACCAGGTCTGCCTAGCAGGGGATTTCATGCTGTCGCTGTGCGGTTCTACCTCCATTTATAAATAATAATGACTTCTTGTGATTACGAAGCAGTTAATCGTTCAGGCTACGGCCAACTTGATGCTGAAATCTGATTTTTCATACTCAAAAAGGCATTACATTAAAGTACTGGGTCAACACCAGGGCAGAGACTACGTTGGTGGACATGAGCTGCGCATACCAGGGTCAGCGTGTATCTGTAACAGCCCCTGGCGTAGCATTTGCAGCGGAGAAGTAAGTTGTTTTTATCATTTGTGGTCTCCGTAAAAGCAGAGTTGAGGTTATCTGGGTGTCTGTGGAGGAGAGGGCTGTTATGTTTTGGCTTGTGGTATTTTTGAATTTTCTTTTTTTTTTTTTTGTGGGATGCAGAGAGGATCTTCACAGCTTGTTTCTTGGTTTCCCACATCTGAATTGTGACATTCCTCAAAGAAATTTGAGCAACTGCAAAGTTAACCCCCGTCCTGAGGCAGGTTTTATGATGGGAATGGAGAAGCTTCATTTTTAAACAGTTCTGTTCAATCTCAGGAAATGAAACTGCAAGATACGTGAATCTGAAGGGCAGGAATGTAGCACTTCGCATGGGAAAATCTGGTAGATAAGTCTCATGAGCAGCAAGGCGAACCTCTTCCCTGGCAGGAACGAAGAGGCTGCTCACACTGTCTCAGGGAGAGGAGAGTGTCTGCTGTTCGGTGTCAGGTCGCAGCGGGCAGGGCTGATTCTTGGAGTGCCTGGTGCCACTGGGACAGTGCTGGGGGAAGAAGCTGGTGTGAAACCAGCAGCCTGCCAGCGCCTGTCAGACAAAACAGCCAATTTCGGGGCCTTCTGGAGGAAAGCGGTGAACAATTTGCATGGATGTTGCCACATCTGTTACTTGCTTTTGGCTGTGTAGGTACTAATCTCCCAAGGCGCAGATGTGTCAGTATGTTGTCAGTTTACAGGGACTGTGCTGCTAAGAGGCATGATAAAAATACCAAAACCAGCAGGACTTCAAAGCAACCCAGTTGCTATATTCATATAAATTTTTATGTGCTGTGTATCAGAGGGAAGCGTATGGTAGCTCTGCGTGCATCAGTGTAGTTGCAAGTAGGTTGGTTGCACCTTGGTGGAGGAGACAGGGTTTCGGCAACCAGAGGTGCTACACTAATCCCCAACAGAGAGGTAATTTCAAATGGCTGGAGCACACTCACTCCCTTCGCTCCCTTCTGCCTTTAAGGCATTAACAGTCTGAAAGTGGAGCAGAGAATTTCAGAGAAAATGTCTCTGGACCTCCTGAGATTTTATGTAGCTTTCAATGTAATAACATTTACTTTAAGAGCACTGCAAGCTCTCCAAAGCAAGCATTTTCCACAATTAGTAACTAGTTTTTCAATTCCCCTCCCAGTTTTTAGGAGAGCTGGGAAGGGAGACTATGACAGCAAAATTAAATGGAATAAACATGAAGGGAAAAGTCTATTATGTACTATACAAACTATGTAAACACCCCTTAGGAAGATCAGCCTTAAGTCAACAGGCTACACCAAACCCATGCTCTAACCACACAGTTAACCTTTAGCCAGGTCACAGTAGGGACAGTTGGGACATTAAGCAATGGATGGAGCTTGTACAGGTCTCTGACATGTTGTACTTGTTCACTTACTAAATGCAAGCATTTACTAAATCATCGTTATCTTCTGAGTCACGTTCGACTGCTGATCTCAGCTTCTTTCTCCGCATTCAGTCAGTTCCCAGATGTACTGCTTTCCTTTCAACAGGTCAGAACCCTGTTCCCTGACCTTGCATCTGTTACGCCACCCATCCCCTGCTCCATCGAGAGCAGTCTTCTGCATGGCCTCTCTCCCTCTCTCATCTAAGCCTCTGCTCTACCGGTTGTAACCTTACTGACATACAGAGGGGTCTTTTACACCAAGATAGCGAGGATATCTTTAATCCTTGCTGGCACAACCCTCTTTGTTTCTTCCCACCTTCCTTCTGCCTAAACATCTACCTGTCTTTTGTCTTTCCTCTGGTATCGCCTTGCTGCTTCCTCCCCATATTGCTGGCTGGCTGTGGTGGAGCTTCAGCCAGTCTCTCTTCAGCTCCTTCCTTAAAATGAGTTAGAGGCAGAAATGCTTAGGAAAGCCATGTAAGCCTGGTTAAAGCAGAGAGAAATTATGTAAGTAGCAGCAGGATGCAAAACTTCAGGGGAAGTCTCCTCTCTCCGGTTACCGTGTAGGAAGCTAACAGAACGCTGTATGGTTTCCTAGGCACAGCTACCCTTATTGCTATTTTAATCCAGTGTTGAACATCTTTCCAGGGAGAACAGATAACAGGATACACTCACAGACTGCGGTACTGCTGTCCTTGTGCCTGCGCCTTTCCCCAGCACATTTCTGATCAGTTTTAACGGGGGCTGGTACGGAGCCTTGTGGAGACTGGCCCAGAGATTTAACAGGCAGTAACATCTGCATTTCTGCCCTCCCTAGACATACTCCTGACCCAGTTGTCTCTCACCTTGTTACACACAGAATCTGCTTCTGAGGTCCAATATCGTGAATGCATGTGATCAGATAGATTTTAACCCCTAATGATTCAGACAAAATAAATCATGTAGGGGTTTGGGGTTTTGTGGGCTTTTTGTGGGCTTTTTTTTTTTTTTTTTTACATCAAGGACTTTCCTCTTTATTCATTCATGTTATGCTTCGCAATTCAAGTATGAACCAAGGGAGATCATGTAAGTTGGGCTTCTTCAATTTGAGTGAGGAGAGTGACTCAGAGCAGGCTCATGCTCTCTTGTCTTTTCATATCTTCTAAATTACATTTTATAGTCAAGGAATTAATATTCTGGGTCCTACAGATGGCTCAGAAAGAGAAATGGGACTATTACAAAGCCCTAGGAGAGACAAAGGATCTTCTAAAGATGGCCAAGGAATTTCAGGATTCCTGCCTTTCTCATGTTGTCAGTCGAAATCGGGGGTGGGGGCAAATTCTGTGCGATTTCGTCCACTCCTGAAGTTAGTAACTGAAAGATCTTCTAAAGATGGCCAAGGAATTTCAGGATTCCTGCCTTTCTCATGTTGTCAGTCGAAATCAGGGGTGGGGGCAAATAACTGAAACTCATAAGACACCTCATGTGATTGATGTGCCACAAGAGTGTGTGAATTGTTTCCTTACCTTATTGTTTCCTTAATTGTTTCCTTTCACTTTTCCTTAGTGCGGTGGCATTCAGGTACCTTTTAAATGTTAATTTTGTATCTTCTATCATCACAGAAACTGGAAAGGAAAACAGAAGGAAATTAAGCCACATCTCCAAGGCTAAGCACCACGTCAATACCAAAACAAACTAGTAACTGTAGCTTGTTGTCCCAATGCTTCACCTGCCAATGTCTTACCTGCAGCTCAGTGTTTCCTCCTTAAGGATTTTCATGGCCATCAAATTGCTCCTTTAAAGTAGTTTCAATGTATGCAGTATTATTTTTCGAGACACACACTTACACATACCTATCAATCTATGTAACTTGAAACACAATAATATTGCAGAGAAAATCAAGGATTAAAAGAAACATTTAAAAACCTGGCAAATAACAAACCATTTCTTTTGTGTCTTCCGACTGACCATGGATTCATCTGACAGTGTTACAAATGTTTTTGAGAGCAGATTGTTGACAACACTTTAGATTTAGAAATGGCCTTCCATTTATAGTTTCCTCTTCTGGCTGAAATAAGAATGCCATAATTGGCTTTTTCGCCTAGCACGGGAGGGATCTCTCTCACCTCTGATGCAGTGAACTAATACAAAACAATTATCCTTCCCCACATACCTTTCTACTCTTCTGCTCAGCTGTAACCTCTCAGACCTGTTCATGTTGTCTCCTAGGGCTCTTGTATCAGGAATATCGAGATAAGTCTACACGCCAGGAGATTGAAACCAGACGACTGCAGGATTCACAGACAGATGCTGAGGAGAATTCACCCAGTGAGGAAATCCCATCTGAAGAAGAACCTACAAGTACAACCGAAAGCAAAGCTCCACCACAAATCAGTTTGCTGAGGAATTCCAACTCCAGGTTCAACTTATGGCAGGATCTTCCTGAGATCCAGAGCAGCGGCGTCCTCAGCATCCTCCAGCCAGATGAGATCAAGCTGCAGGAGGTAATGAGGGAAGGTGGAACGTTTCTTAACTGGGTTGCTGCTTAAAAGAACAAGAGTGAGTTAAGTAAAATGATCAAGTTTTAAAAATTAAAATCTTCGTAGGAGTCACAGACATGCCTTGCCCTGCTGAGTACCTTTCTGTGTTGCACTGGTTAGCACTCTTCACTTTTTGGAAACCACAGATGTTTTTCTATGCTCTTACTGCTGGACATTTCTGTAGCAAAAAAAAGAACTTATTTTCCCTTTTCTGATTCAGTTTTAGGAGCACTTTACTAAGGAAGGAAGGGATAATGAAGAACAACTGTTTACCAATGCATATTAATTCTTTTTTGAAGTTACTAGCAGGATACATACTTTTTACCAGAAATTTTAGAAGAATTCAACGCTTAACTGTAATCTGTTTTAAATATGATGGCATTAATGGAAAGGGAAGAGATAGAGATTGATAAGCTTCCTTATTTTTAAATGCTGTTACTTGGAGTCTTATACAAAACATTGAAAAAATAGTGACGGGTATATTTGCATTTTAGCCATACAGTGCAGTGACATCACAGTTCAAGAGCCATAAGCTGTTAATTTATAGGGCTGCATCAAACAGTGAAAGGAGGCGAGGGAAGCTGCCACAGCTAATGAAAACGTCAGTCATAAACAAGTTAAAACTGGTTGCTGTTTTGGATAGCAGGGGGATAGTGAGTGCTCTTTGTCAGTGCATAGCACTGCATTTGTGGAGTGCTACGCATTGGAGCAATGGAGACAAACAAGCCTTGTGTTTCATGCGTGGTGTGCAAAGTAATAAGAGCCATGGGCCTTCAAAGGCTCGATCCCGTGAGTCCCACTGTACTCCTGCACCAGGATTGCTTCTGGTGAGGCTGTGTGGCAGTATCTGTTCAGTCCTGGCTCATGCAATCGTGCCCAAAGTGCTGAAGAGCATCTCAGGGTGTGAGCAGTTCTCTCTAAGCTTACTTGGCTTTGCACACTCAACATTTATGAATCCCTTGTGTACCCAGCACCACCCTTACTCTGGCCAAGGCTGTAACTTCACTGGTACACTGGAAAGGCTCATTGCAGGGGTGTGATGGGCAGGGCTGTGTTACACCCTTAGTGGAAGGGACCTGCATTTATACAAGGTAGCTGGGGCTGGCAAGCACAGGCGGTTAGTGTGTCAAGGCTATGGCTGAAGGTGACTAAAATGGTTTGTTAGTTTTCTATGTTCTTCTTCTGCACTGGTTATTTCCATATCAGATTTGTTCTGTTTACCTGGCAAATCACGGTATTTCTATCTGCCAGCATTACAAACACAATATGGCATCTGAAAAATTACAAGCTTTTCTATTTCTTTCTGCTTCAAAATGAAGTGTCTTTTACAGAGAAACATTTGCTTAAAAGTTCGCATTATGGATTTCAAAACCTGCCATTTCTGTTGAGTTACGTTCATTACTTGTAGGTGTTTTAAGGAAAAAATCTCTGTGCCGCTAAACCTCACCAATAAGTGTGCTGAATTTTATTCTCTCTGCTTAAATAACAAGAGAAATAAAGCATATGGAGATGGGACAGTGCTGCCTTAAAGAAGGGCTGTGCTTTCCCCTGATGTTAGTTTATCAGAACTGAAATTTTCTTCCTGTTTGTTCTGGGATTAGCACAGCAAGAGATTATAAAATTGCTCAAAGCCAGAAAGCTGTGAAATTGGCTGAACATTGAATAGATAAAGTGGAGGATTTGCTCTGTGAGGAGAGTCAAGGACAGAAAACAAGGAGGGCTGAAGAAATCACTGAGGCAATTAAAGATATGATGTGGAATTCAGCCTTGCTATAAGCAAGCAGTGCTTGCTCCTGCAGTGCTGGAACTGTACTCACGTTGGCTATGAATTGGGAGTATGAGCTGTACATGAGGGCTTGATTAAGTGAATGTGACATGTTCAGCTTCATGAAGGAGAATTGGAGGAATTTACCTGAAGTACAGGGCAGCAGAAATTCTGGAGTAAATGTCTTAAGGACAAAATCATATTTTTCTGACCCATTTTCTTTTCAGAGCTGTGGTAAACACAGGGAATAGAAAAGCTTCCAGCTCCTCAGGTCAAACAAGAGTAGTAGTTGGAGCACAGAGAGGAATACCAGTACAAAAGCTAAAGAAAGTTGAAGCAAAACCCCCTGTTCACAGCTGAGGAAGGGAACACCACCATAGCTGTGATGGACGAGGGTTTACACAGCTAGAGAAAAAGTTGCTAATCTGCAGTAATCTGTAAAATGGAAGAGACAAGAACAAGAGGAGGAATCTGGTCTTTGTTATTGGCAGTAACAGAAAATGACTAAGCAGGTTATCAATACAAGACAAAAACCAAGACAGGTGTTTTTCAGGGATCAAGACAAGAAACTTGACCAGAAGAGTAATGGATGCTTGAAAAGTGTCATGGAAGGCAATTTGTCATTGTCCCCATTGGAACAAATGAGCCAAAAAATAGAGTTTCAGGAAGGGAAAAAAAAATTTTTCAACAAAAAAAAACAACCAAAAAACCCAACAACCACCCACCCACCCCCCAGCAATTTCGGAAAAATAAATGTTGCAGCATGGCCAATTAGCCCTGGGAACTCAAACAGAATTCAGACAGTGACAGCCTCTGCCCTACCAGCCTTTTTCACCCAAAGCAAATGTGAGAGTAGCAAGATGTAAAACATCAACTCCAAGTCTCACAAAAAACATGGATGCAAATGCAGAAAAAGGAAGAACAAAAGAAAATGCAAAAGACATGTTACAGACCACAGCGGTCAGGGAAATATGAGAATTATGTGCTACTGGAATAATTATCAGAAATGACTAATTCATTGATAGGGTAGTTTTAATTACCAAGACATCTGTTGAGCTTCAAATATGGCAAAACATGAATCACCAAGGGCTTTCTTTTAACCATCTAGAAAATGTAATGATGCAAGAAGGACGAGCCAAAAGAAGTGCTGTTTGGTTTCTGACATGGAGTTAATGTGGAGGCAATGACAGGCAGCATGTATGTAACAGGAGGAACAAGTGACTAGAGAGAAAACAGCCCTCCTGTATTAAATGTGATTTAGGTTAAAACAAAGTCTGTCTCCGAAGTACTAGGCTCTGAAGAGGTCGTGATCTAGAGTTTAGAAGAAACAACATGTAGTGAAACTTCTTTCAGTATGAACCTTAAATTAGGTATTGGTACGGCCTGTTTGTGGAGTGGCTCTGGTTTATTCCTCTTTCCCAGCTCAGTTCTCTGCCTTTCAGTTTGTCCTTGTTTTATTTACTGTACAGTTTCTTCATTTTGTCCTTTTCTACTTGCTACCAATATTCATTTTCCTACACTGTGTTCATCTTCTATGTTTTAAGACATTTCGAGCTGAGTGGAACTCGCCCAAAACAATTTACTAATAAATAGTTTAGCAAAGTATTCTCAATCTTTGAACTGAACCGTTTTTCCTGAGATGTATGAGCTTTCATAAAGTTTTTGCCAAGGATTATTTGGATTCAGGTCACTTTGGTGTTAGAAAAAGGGGCAGAGACAGACTAATCTGCACCATGTGTCATGGTGTGAATTTAGATCAGAGAGCTGCTGCTCTGAAAATATTCTTTGCTTAAACGAAAGCAGGACTTGAACCTTGTTGTGTGCACAGGTGACATGGCCTCTGTGTGGAACAGAGCGTTCGATGGTTAAGCAGTCTCTCTCTCTTGTTCCATTTTCACAAAAATGGCCAGAAAATGTTTAATTTCATTTGATGCTTTGAGCAAATCTTCGATTTCAAACCTCCAGAGAGCTCTCCAGCTGGATGTGCAGCACTTTTGCAGGTGGATGTCAGACTGGCCATGTAAACGCAGCCAGGTCTGAGAGCTGGTCACAGCCAATGCCGTGGCATTGCCCCAGAACAACATCCCTCTTGGACTAGACTGGAATTCCCCCTTCTTACCTGGTGATTTACATGAAGAGCGGGGCTATTGGGAACAGACCTTTCCAATCTATACAGTAAAACACCATATTATCTCAATAGGAATTTACCCTGTAGGATTACTTACTTCTGTCTTTGGCGACTCTTAATTTTTCTCCTTTTTTACCTTCTACATTTCCTTCTTCCTTAGGCTTCATTTCTCTTTTGCTTTCTCCGTCTTTCTGCCAAAACATAAGCAATGAAAATGATTAGTACAGCTCTTATGCAACTATGAGATTTCACACAGTTAATGACCCAGAGGACTGATGAACAGTGTTGGTCATGTTTCCAAGAGATAGTTTCAGACTATTTGTAGACTCAGAAAGATATTATTACATCTACTGACATTTAGTTCAAATTTTTTTTCTTGTTATTTTTGCAATTCTGAAACCAGAAGCTCATGCTCTTTTTTTCTAGTGATTGCTTAGAGCTGGCAAAGTTCAGTTATTCCACAGAGATCACATCATCGCATCGTATGTTGGATGTTTGGTGCCAGTTTGAGAGGTTTGCAGCTCATGCTTAGCATTCAAAAGGGAAACAGCGGTCTGGGCTGCTTGGAGTAGGTACTTTGGGTCTGCAGAGGGCCAGCTGGATCTCCAAAATAAAATTAGAATCTTGTGCCTTGCACATGCTGTGAACACTTCCAGAAGCTTGTACTGATCAGTGGAGATACCCTTTACTTACTTGGCAACTCCTTTAAATCAGAACCTTGTGCACTGATGTTTTCACTATGGATTTCATTATTTTTATACCAGCACTTCTGTCTTATCCTTTGTTGTATCTTTACCTATAACTCTCCTCTCATTTAACACCAGCTCTTACACATACACCGGCCAAGTGTGTTCCTTTCTGCCCACACCCTTTGCCCTGTCTCCCCTGGGGCTGTGCATGCACAGCCTCCTTCTCTGGTGCAGGAAAGGACCACCTGTTTGCCTCAACTGCCCACTGGGAATATTTCCTAGGCTACCAACCCTTGGACTGCAGCACAGTGTCAGGAACAGGTCTCTCTACCTCCGGTTCTTCTGTGCTGCTTAGCAGTGTCTCCAGAAAAAGACCAAAAACTGATCAGTGAAGAATTTCAAGTCAGTTCTTTAAAAAGAAAAACAAAACAAAACAAAACAACCCTGAAAAAGAACAACCAAGCCACAAGACAGACTCTCAGCTAATTTGGAAGATAACTTTTCCATATGCCCAGCACAAAAATTACTGCATGTACCTGCTGCTCCGTTGGATCTCCCCGACTCTAGCTGGGCCCCTGTAGCCACTGGCAAAGCTCAGGGACTGGTACGCACACTGCCTGGCCAGCTCCCACCCTCACCAGGGTGCAGAGAGGAGCTGTGGGCAGTAGGGGAGCTTGGGCTCAGGGATCAAAGCAGCTTTAGGTTCAAGGAAGCAAGACTTTCCCTGAGCTGCCAGAAGGTTCCTCTTTCAGCAGTGGCAGCATGGGCCAGCCCCAGGAAGAGGAGCCCAAGATGCACCTTCATCAAGAGATATCTGAAGGATCTAATGATTTTTCACCATGTTAAAGCCCTTGTGAGAATCTTCAATTAATCTTACTTCAACTAACGTTGTGTAAATAATCACATTTTTTATCTACTGCTGAACAAAGACAACAAGCACTTGCCTGGAGAGTAAGTGAGCTCTGTGTGGTATAGTGGAGCATCCCTGCAGCACCTGCTGGGGGCAGGTTTTATGTCCTTGTCTCATTAACTTGCGATTTATCTCTGAACCAAACCATCAATTTGCCATTTTGCTTACCCAGACCACATCCCTGGCCTGAGGAAGCCAGGCTTTGCGCCAGAGACTTCTCTTTTAACAGGAGAAGCAAGGGCTGGAATTTGAGGATTGTACTTAGGGCTTACAGTAATAGTTGAGGACTACTCTGTCTTGTCACAGTCCTTGGTGATTTGGGTCAGAAAAGTGTGTGGCCAGGGTCAATCAGGGAGCCTCGCTAGGACAGAAACAGCTGTATTTGCTTCATGTCAAGGAAGACAGACGGGCTTGGAGCACCACAGCATATATTTCTGTTGGCTCTGCCCCAAGGAGCATGTGATGCACACTTGGACTGCTGCGTGCTGCACAGCGCAGCCCCCGCACCGTGGTCTTTCTAAAACAAGAGCATAGATGATGCAAGGAGACCCTCCTAGGCAGCATAATAAGCCCCAACGAGCGAAGATACAAGCCGACACTGTCATAATCAGCAAGAGGGTGGAGGGTGTGTGGGGCTGCCAAGGGGAACTCACCGAAAGGGAGATGAAAGTGCAAGTGGGCATAGAAGGGGCCGGTGCTGGCAGGACCCTCATGGCAAGACTGAGAGACTCTAGAAGTGCTTTTATGGGTGCATGTGCAAAAGATCAGATTGCTTACAGACAGTGAGAAAAAGAGATTTCTGCTGGAGAGATTCAGTGGAAGGAACTGTGGTCAAACAACTTATTAAAGAGGAAGAAGGAGCCAGGTTTGAGGGAAAAAATCCTCCCCGTTCAAGTCACTGTGTTGTGTAGCACATGGCAAATGCTATTGCGGGCTTACCTCTCCCTGTGCTCTGGGACTGGAGGGTGGGCGCAAGGTCCATGACTGTGTGCAGCACAGATGTTCTCACTGAAGTTGTATGTGCGTCTGTATAAAAGTAGAAGGTACCTGCTGATTTCCTTCTTTGGGATTCTCTCCCAGGCCATGTTTGAGCTGGTTACTTCCGAAGCCTCGTATTACAAGAGTCTGAATCTGTTGGTGTCGCACTTCATGGAGAATGAACGTCTGAAAAAGATCTTACACCAGTCTGAGGCACACATCCTCTTCTCCAATGTCCTGGATGTCATGGCTGTTAGTGAGCGGTAAGACAAGTGCTGCTGGATTTTTGTCCAGCTGAATAGCATCGCTTAACTGACCTCATGTGGAGAGGGGTGGAGGAGCTGACTAGGGGCAGTCTGTTATCCACTGCCTTCAGAGCACCTGTGAACACATGGATTGCTTTGAGCCCCAAGGGCTTCTCTGGGAATTACCTAGGACAGACAGGTCACAATTAATATGAGTGCTGTGTTTCCCATCTAGCTTCCTGTTGGATCTCGAGCAGCGGGTGGAGGAGAATATTGTGATCTCGGATGTGTGTGATATTGTCTACCAGCATACGGTGAATCACTTCTCTGTGTACATCACCTACGTCTCCAACCAGACCTACCAGGAGAGAGCTTACAAGCAGCTTCTGTGAGTTCCAATGCTTGATGCTAAAGCCTTTTGACTAGGCCACAGATTGAATAGGACATGGATTTACTGTAATTTTGATTTATGAGAAAGGGCTAAATAGCACAGAAACAGAATTTCACACTTCACTGATTTTTTACTGCACTATAAAAAGAAAACACAATTTTAGGCTTTATCATAAGGGTGGGGTGATATAGTACGCAGGTAACGTACCAAGTAAATTCAGAGCTAGCAGTTCCCAGCTGTGGGAAATATTTAGGCTGTACACGGGGACACAAATGTGTGTATCATCCTTAAACTGCAAGTACAGGTAAGAGAGTGAAAGGCCAAGAAAATAATACAGAGTTCTGATTACAAGAACAGCTACTGCTTTTCCCAAGGTTCTCAGCAAGGCATTTGACCTTCCAAATTATTTTTTTAAGCAACAGAATTTTCTTAAAAGGAAAAAAAAGCTATTTTCTTCGCATTCTGGTGCTAACACACGCAACGTTACCTAGGCCTGAGAGTATAATCCAAGATATTTTTGCACTGTTTTTCAAGTTTAGCGAATCTTTTAGTCTGGTAGTAATTCTTTTATGCCAGCTCAAAACAAAGAGTGCCCTACAAGCTTGTCGTTGAGCAGGAGAATTAATTTTTCTTTCGTTACATTGTCCTGGATTCTTTCAGGACAGCACACTGCACATGCTGCACTGTATTTCCTGCCCATAGCAGCAGCTGGTTCAGGGGAGTATAACAAGCCCTAATCCTTTTCTTTCTCTGCTCTCCAGCTTTTGAGGCAAAAAAAAACCACCCACTTGAAGTGGCCTCTGTTGAGCTTGGCCAACTGTTCTTTCCCAAAGGAGGGTACTGCAGGGTTCCCTCCAGTCAGAGGTGAGCAATATAGCTGCCAAATATAAACAGTTTGCCTAGAGCAATTAGCCAGATTCTCAGAAGAGAAGGAGAATTAGGCTGGATTACTGGAGCCTGAAAAGACCTGTTGGAGACAGAGGCATTCCTAGATACTAATTTAGAATGCAGCATTTTATTCACCTGCGGGAGAACACGGAGCCAATTGCAAAGAACAGACTCCCTTCCCCAGACTCCTAGCTGGCACGAGAATTTCACAGCACTGGGCTGAGCTCGAAGCCCAAGGTGTGTCACAGCTGCCCTTTGGCTGTCCCTCAGATGCACGCAGGTCCACTCTGCTGTGGCTCCGGTGAGCCACACCGTCACACGAGTACCTGCCGCAGCAGGGAGAAACCCTTGCGACGGCTTCTCTCGGATGTCACGAGTCACACGCAGTAAAGACGGGGTTTGCACAGTTGGCAATCTGTTCGCAACCGTGCTGTTTCTGCGTGTGGGCCTCCAGCAGTAAGTCTTCCTCAGGGCCCTGCAGCTGCCAGGGAGCACTGCCTGGCTGCGACAGCTGGGGCTTGTGAGGCTGCTCTGTGTGGCAGCATCCATGGCCCAGCAATGCCCTCATCTGCTCTGAATGCCATCGGGGAAGGCCTGGGCATGGCCTGTGGCCTTCTCAGGCCAGGGAATGATTCCCATCCGCTGGCTAAGCAGCCAGGAGTAGCCAAGCTTGAGCTGTTCTGTGGCTTGTCTTGTTCTTACGACTGTGTGAATTTCACCTTGTCACAGAGTTCCAACTGTGTAAAAATATGTAATTATGCCTCTGACTCATCTACTTGGACACACACCCCATTCACACACACCTACGCACGCAGCGTATGCTGCTGAGCTAGATGTGCTAACACATGTGAACACTACCATGGCTTGTACATTAAAAGTCTATTTTTTCCCTCCCCCAACACTATAAATAGTTCTAGATTTAAACTAAAATACACCTAGAAGCATTCAGTCCCCTCCTCCCCTCTTCTCTCTCGCTGGGAGAGGCCAGGCAGATGCTGTCTCTGGGACCAAGCTGCTTTTGGGTCAGCAGCCATACACCAGCCTCTCAGGCAGGGTAGCACTCAAAGCCCTCACCTTCTCTCTCTCCTCTCAGCCAGGACAAGCCAGCTTTCCGGGAAGTGATCTCACAGCTGGAGCTGGATCCCAAGTGCAAAGGCCTGTCCTTTTCTTCCTTCCTGATTCTGCCGTTTCAAAGGATCACTCGCCTCAAGCTGCTGGTTCAGGTAGAGTTTTGCTCTTCTCTCTCTCCCAAAGGTCTTCTGCATCACTCCTGGAATTTTCCTTAACAGCAGCCGTGAATGAGGCTTAGATACAGCCACAATCAACCCTAGAGCAGAATAAAGCCTTTCCACAGAATTAGACATTCTCAACATCTATGGGCACTCAGTGACCAACCTCAAATCAGTGTTGAATTTGCCACGTAGCTTTTACTCAGTGGAAGAGTTATGAGGGAACTTTGTTGAGCTGCTAGAAGGTGTAGCAACAGCCCATTAACCCAGCTGCCTGAGGGTTAGGGCTCCAACACACGGATGCACGGCGCGGAACAGCTGCGGGACATGGACATTCTCCCTGTATGTATAACACACCATGGTGGCTTTCACCAGACTGTCAGCCATCTTCCTCCTGTGCTTTGCCGGCTTGTTTAAACACGTGGAGGACATGCTTCTAGGTATGAGGAAACAGCTCAGTCCCAAATGGTCTTATCCCACTGGGATTACCAATAATACTGTTAGGGCCAGCTTTAGGTTTTGGGTTGGGGTTTTTTTTCTGTTGTGTGGGTTTTTTTTAAAGAAAATAGAGGTCTGTCTCCTATATTTCTTTTAGATGTAAGGTCAGATGGGAACAGATTTTAATGAGAAAGAGGAACTAAGAGGTGAGAGTCACTGTACTGTCACCTATCGTGTAATTAGGCTGATGGCCAGAAATAACTCTGAGGCCAGCAAAGACCTTTCTGTGCTGTCAGATTGGGATCGGAGTTAACACAGCCTTTCCTTCCCTGCAGAATATTTTGAAGAAAGTGGAAGAGAAGTCTGACAGGGAAACCACTGCTCTGGATGCACATAAAGAACTGGAAACAGTAAGTTTGAATGAGCTAACTGAAGGCCATTAAGATTAATCCATTGCGCTCATTTACCCCCACCAAAAAAGACCTACAAACTGCAGTTGCTCCTGGAGCTGTCCCTTTGAATCTTGTCACTGTGTTTCTTTTTTTTTTTTTCTTAAGTCTTCCTTGCTCTCAAAGGTGGACTAATCTAGCAGCACCTAGATGTCAGTGACGAGGAATCCCTTGCTAACAACAGACACGTATGCGTCTGCTGTAGGAAAGGGCAGGGAGAATGCTTTCCCTTGAGGTCTTCAAGAATACAAATCGGTTGTGCAGGTACCTGAAGGTGATGGATCCCACTGAGAGATGTAATTAGCTGCAACAGGCAGTAGTGTACAACTGTGTCATGTTTCCTTCAATACAGCACACTTCTTCCTTTGACCTAGAATAACAGTTTCTTAATGAAGTACACAAGCCTGCTTTTAGCCCTCTTTCCCGAAGTTGGTAGGCAGGTGTCATGTTCAGTTGTGCTAATTACTGCTGTGTGCAAAACACCAGGAAGGCACTGGGGTGTTTTCCATCTGGGCTGTTCTCGACACGGTCAGACAGAGCAATCCCACCTCCAGGCTAATATCTAAATGGTCTGGACATAGCTTGCAGCTATGTGGGCTGGGACAGAGTGCTAGGACCCTTCTCCATCAGAAGCTTGGAACATGTCCTGAATCCTGCAGATCAGTATAAGTATTTGAATGTGAAAACTGTGCTGGAATGTCAGCCTGAGGTTATGGTTGCAGCTTCTGATTGAAATGTTGGAACAAAATGGGCTCTTGGATTTGCCCTGCATTAGCCTAGGAAGTGCACACTTTGGAGATCACTAGGGATAAAGGCCAGGAAGAATGTTCTGCATTAGTTAGTATTTGCAGAATCCCTCATGACGTATCTGGTTGTCAGTTGTTTTCCTAATGGTCAAAAGCCTGAGGAAGGCTGTTCCTGTAGGATGCAGACTACAACTGCTGACGGAAAAATGCTGCTCAGCTGTCAGTGACTCATGTTCAATTTTATAATTCCCTTTGCATGTTACTTACCTGTAAGTGTTTAAATTTAGATGCCTAATACCCAGCGAGGTACAGGCATCACAACAGAGATCATCTGGTGCCTGTTTTCTCTGTAGGTATCCTATCTGAGAGGTAAGAGCTGCTCACCATTTCAGTTGCTGATGTTCTGGTGGATTTTGAGTCACAGAAACAGAGCACAAAGTGGATCTTGTTCTCCAACGTAATTCTTCTACCTAGCCAGTTCCCAAGACAGTTGCTCCTTATGAAACTGGCAGTGGCATCTAGGTTAAGGTCCCTGTAATAGGGTAGAGCCTGCACGTTGGTTGTGGTTTTTCAGTTGAAAATTTGTACTCAGAACACAGCTGGGCTCTGTATGATGAACGTCTCTTTCCTGGGCTATTTCATAGCCTTGACATTGGCACTCCTTGGCAGAACTGCAGCATTTGCATCTTTGACATTAAGGTCTTAGGCTTCATTCTCTTCTTGAAGATGATACTGTGCGTGTACCTCATTTCAAGCATTTGGGACAAGGAAGATAAGATGCATGGTGTGTCAGACTCCGGAAAATGAGCTGTTCCCTTTGCTGTGCAACCAGGAGTATTGCTTAATATTGTCTGGTTCAGGAACTGAATGCAGCCATCTAACGTGTGCTCTGATAGTCAGCTTTCAGCTATAACATCTTCTGGGTGTTGGGAGGGTGGGGCTTGTGGGTTTGGGGCTTTTTTTTGTCTTTTTTTTTAATTGTTTTTTCCCCCCCCTTCTATTTTTCATGTGAATAAGGTGCTGACAGGAGAGCTTGGCTTCATCAATTTCTCTCACAGCAGGGCACTTACCCGTGACGGTCAGGCCTTCGTGCGCTCTCCATCATCACTTACCTGCTTCAGGCCAGTAGAGGCAAACCTTTCTACTCCCTTTTTCCCAGGTGGTGAAGGCATGCAATGAAGGTGTCAGGAAGATGAGCCGAACAGAGCAGATGATCAGCATCCAGAAGAAACTGGAATTCAAGATCAAGGTACAAGCATAGACTGGTAACCCTTTGCAGACAGGGAACCGACAACATCCAGATGTTGTGTGCACACATGTGGCAGTAATAACATATTTGCACTCCTTCTAGTGAGCATTAGGGGTGGCCTGGTCCCCACTGTCCCCCTCCAAAGCCTGTGAAGGGGATGCTGCTGCGAGCACTGCACCCGTGCATGTGGTCTCCATGCACACGTGCTGCAGAGGCCAGGCGTAGCTCTGAGGCCAGCGTGTTACGCGTGTACAGATGTGACACGCTGGCATCAAACCACCCATGCGCAGTGGGTGGCTCCTGCTCCAGCGCTCAGTTCTGGCTCTTCCCTCTCACCTCTCCAAAATGCAGGTCAGCTTTTGGCTATTATTTTACATTACAAATGACATTAAAGGAAGATGAAAGCTGCAAAACAAACATTTTAAAGCTGGAAAATACCAAAGTGAAGAGTGTCCCACCATTTTCATTCATCCCCGCATTTATGCATTATGTACAGTCTTTAATTACTTGCTGATGATCTGTTTTGGCTCCACTCAGGGAATGACTGAATCAATATTTAGGGGTGTTTCACCAGGTCATTTAATATATGCTGTGAAACTCCAATGCTGAGTATAAAGTTGCCAGTTCTTTTTTTGAGTGCTATGGAGATGCTTCTCAGATATTTCTGCTTCACAAACTCTAAGTATATTTAGCTTCCCAGCAACTTTTTTCATACCTGAACCACCAAAGAAAAAAAAAATTGGGACATTTGTTTGGAAAGCCACACCCGTCACCCAAGAATTTGAGCGCTTTCCAGTGCGTCAGGACTAGACCACAGCTCAAAGGACACCACTGGGTTGGGGTAGCTACAAGGCTGCCTTCATCGCTTGTAAAGCTGAGGCTGTGATGACAGGCAGGAGCTGGTTCATCCCTGGAGCAGGTCTGCCTTGGACACTGGAGCAGGCAGAGCTCCTGTCAGGAAAAGAGTGGAAGCGTGTGGAAAGAAAGGCTGTGCCACCGTGCATGTGATGAACACAGGGAGGAGTGAAGGAGGAAAGAGTAGCAGTTACACAGATATTTTCCAACATTTTAGTCATTTGACCGGAACCGTAGTGTTCTAATATAACATGGGCTTTGTTCCGGGCTTCTTGTGTTTTACACAAATGTGCAGTAAAGCTCCAGCAGAAGTGCTGTTGTGGCTGCGTGCACAGTATCTCCTCCTGGCTGGGACACACCCAACCAGTGAGAAACCATTTAACCTGGGTTTTTTTGTAGCCAAAAGGCCAAATACACATTTTTGAAACTCCGTCTCCCTGGCCAGAAAGGCTCAGCCCAAGTGATGAGACATGGGTTCTCCCAGAGCCAGATCAGGCTGTGCAGAACATAGCCTGGTGTTTAAGTGCACTTGGCACTTCAGCATCGCTGTCCTCCAGTGTTTGTTCATCCTTAGGCCCCTGCCATGTCCCCCTCTGAGCTCTGTTATGCTCTATGCCGGGCTGCGGCGTACATGGCAGAGCACACTGACCTCTCCGTGCAGCTCTGCTCCATCCTCTGCAGCGCAAGCTGTGGTGACGGGAGCTCACCACCCTTCCTTCTGCAGCTCTTTCAGCATCTTGACTGCATAAGCCCAGGGGGTTTTACTGCTCTCCTGATCTTTGCCATCTTTTTCTCACTTCTAGTCTGTGCCCATCATCTCTCACTCCCGCTGGCTGCTGAAGCAGGGGGAACTGCAGCAAATGAATGGTCCGAAGACATCGCGGACACTTCGCACCAAGAAACTCTTCAGGGAAATCTACCTGTTCCTTTTCAATGATCTGCTGGTAATTTGCCGGCAAATTCCTGGGTGAGTGCAAAATTTGGGCAGCATGCAGGGCCCTTCGTCAGTCTGATTTACCCCTGGGTTTATTCGAGCTGCGATGCTGTGTCCCCATCCTGTCCCCCAAGCACGGGGAGAGCATCCTGGCCTGGCCTGTAGCACCTCCCTCCAGCAGTCACCCCGACACTGAGCGCAGATGACTTGTCATGGGTGGCACAGCTCACTCCAGCTGAAAATTTATGGCAAACACATTCCAGGCCAGGTATCCCAGCAGAGTAAGCAAGCATGTACCCATCAGTTTGTGCAGAGTGGCAGTGAGTTACATCAACTGGTGGGCTGACCCAGGAGGCCTGTCTTCCTGTCAAGAAATGATTTTTGACTCATCGCTGCCTGAAGAACAGCTCAGTTAAACTTCCAAGAAGGTGGGCTAGAAAATTTGAGCAGCAGGGAGGGATATAAATTTAGGCCCGAAGCTAGTGGTTGACGTGGTATAACCTGCCTCAGGAGGAGGAGAACGTCACCCTGCTTAGGACTAGGTCTTGCGCAACAAGACACTAGTGAAACACAGCAGCACAGACCGGTAGCAGAGAACAGCGTGTTCTTTGTGGCATTAACTGGACTCACCGGTAAGGAGCATCTCGCCAGTCCAACGTTTCTAATAAACATGTCGCCGCAGTGTCTGTACGCCTGGAAATATTTTGCTTCTGCGGCAGCTTGTATCCAGAAAACACAGAGGCATTTTACAAATAGGAATGAATTAAACCTCACAGTCCCCTTTGAGGGAGCACCGTCTGTGTGGAGCTCAGACAGAGTAAGCAACTTGTGCTAGGCCAAGTGGGATGCCTAAGGCAAAGCAAAGAGAGGGTTTTCTTGCTTTGCGGTGGGTTTTCATAGCCACCCACTCATCCCTTCCCACAGCAGGACATTTTCTTTCCTCCTGCCATGCAGCAGTTCCTGGTCTGTGTCCTCAGTCCAGTTCTGGGTGGCTGAAGCCAAAGTCTCCTGGAATAACGGCAGTTTTTCCTAATCTCCTCTCTCACCTCTCCCAGGGACAAGTACCAAGTGTTTGACTCTGCTCCCCGGGGACTTCTTCGGGTAGAAGAGTTAGAAGATCAGGGGCAGAGTTTGGCCAACGTCTTCATCTTGAGGCTGCTGGAGAATGCCGATGACCGGGAGGCCAGCTACATGCTGAAGGCGTCGTCCCAGTGAGTACACGGCTCGCCCTGCCATCGCTCGGCAGTGCTCCCTCTCTACACCCATGCAAGGGCAGCACCCTTGGGTGCTGGGGATCAGGTCTCCAGGCTTACCAGGGTCAGGCAGGCAGCTGAGCTGGCCCCACAAACTGCTCTGCCCAGCATCGCTCTCCTGAGGCTGCTTTTGTCCTCTCCGACTGAAAGGCGCTAGTGAAGGAGGCAGGTTCCTCTCCTGTACGGTGTGTTTGTAGCAGCCAGGGTGGAGGATGGACAGGAGAGAAGTCTGCATTCTGCAACAGAGAGGTCAGAAATCAGCCCCGGCACAGGAGCCAAGCATTTACAGCCTGCAGCATATTCAGAAAGTAAAAGAAGGAGGATGTACGCTGTGCACGCCCCAGCAGCTCAGCTGGCTCATAAAGATCAAGGTGATGCCTGACCAGCCCTGTGAAGCAAAGTGGCTCCTGCTTGTAGGCAAAGGGTGGGAGAAGAGGCCAGTTCCTTGGCACCTTCCACAGCCGGTCTTATGCAGCCTTTCTGCTGCACCAAGCCTCCTTGTCTCCTTGGATACAGGTTTTTTTGGCTCACCGATTTTTCACTTCAGGCTCCAGCAAGCTCAGGCTGGGCAAATGATTCAGCTGTGCTAACACAGACCTGATTGTTTTGGAGCTCAGGGCACAGCTTCCTCGTTGACCCAAGCCTTAGCAGCCCATGTTTTCTAGGCACCGTGTCTGTGCTATTACAGGTGTACGTGTACCACCAGCTAAACAGCTACTCCAGGTGATGGACACCCCCAGCTTGATGTTCCTTTGCTGTCAGGCCAGTGCTCAACCTCCATATCCCTTGAAGAACACCAGCCCCAGCTGGGACCTGTCCTGATGCAGGCCCAGGGGCTGCACTCTGACCCCCTCTTCTCCCAGCTCTGGGATCAGGAAGACAAGCCCCCAGGCACAGCCAGCAACTTGCACCTTCTCCCCAGGAACGTGACTGCAGCTTTGCTGTACTGAAAATAGAGATGTCAGTCACGTTATGCAGGGCAAGCGCACATCTGACGTCGGTGAGACTGAGCTGTGCAGGGAACGATAAACCAGGCCAGGGTTCGCCTCCGCTCAGGGGAGGCAAGCACAGCTCTGCGTTTCTGCATCCTGTCCCATCTTCTAGATGGCCACAGTGAGCGTGCATCCAGCACTCGGCTTGCCAGCAGCTCTTGTGCGCTGAGACGTGATGCAGCAACTGCTTTTCCAGAGCTGCAGGGACGACTGGGGCAGTACCAGGCTCAGACTGAAAAACTGAGGAAGCAGAAGAGAGAATGGGGTGCCAAACAGGCTGGTGCATCTGTTGCACTGCTCTTGCGGCACTTCCTAGCTCCGAAGCGATGACCTGCTTGGTGGCAGCTTGCAGCTAACACCCTGGGTGGGCTCTGCCAGGAGCTGGCAGTGCAGTTGGGCATAGCTGGTCGCAGGGGCTGGACTGGAGCTCAGGTGGGTCCCTCACGGGCCGAGGGGAGCTGGAGGCTGTGGGCAGGATCCAAAGAGCTCTAGAAGGAACTGTGTGCAAGGCCAGCCTGCAGTTAGGGCCACCAGCACGGTAAGAGCCCTGGTTTGATCTCTGTGTGCCAACCCCTCTGTGCGCAGGGTCCTGGCGGCAAGCGGGACTGCACTCAGCCTGCAGCTGCAGGGCATTTCACTCCTCCTCAGCATCGTGCTTCAGCCCTGACGCATAAGGTATTCCCAGCCCTGCAGGTCAGCCTGCCAGCACTCGTCCTTCACGTCTCGCTTTTAGACCTCTCTCCTCCCAGAAGGCACTCCAGTGGCTTTAGATGTGTGTCAAGTTCAGGCTTTAAAACTACCATCTGAGCAGGTGGAAAGTTCTGGCTCCCTCGGGACCGGGAGCACGCGTCGCTGCTGCTCCAGGCAGGAGCGGGAGCCTGTGAAGATGAACTGCCCCGTTTCCAAGTCGGGCTAAGGGAACCCTCGAGGCAGCACCGGGCCTGGGGCTTCTCCAGTGCCTGTGAAACCTTCACCCTCCTGCCACAGGCCCGGGTTTCAGCATCATGCTGGATCTGGCGACGCTCAGGCGGGTCTCGTCTCATCCGCTGCCAAGCGAGCGGTACCCTTGGTGCGCCACAGCGCTCGGATGTGAGTGAATTCATCAGCTCTGCCCTTTCAATGTTCCCACACAGCAGCTAAGGGAATAAATGGTTCCTCTAACTGCTTTTCTCCAGGAAAAACTTGTCCTATTGACCCAGCTGAGCCAGGAGCTGCCTTTGCTGGTTAGAGCTCGGAGGGTGCCAGGCCCCCACACTGCTGCTGCCTCTCTGGGGAGCAGCAAGGTGTCCAAGGGGGATCCTGCTGCTCGTGGGGACAGCCAGCCTGGGGGCCCTGCAGCAAGCCAGGCCTGTGCAGCAGGGTCCAGGGCACTGGGGCACCTGGGATATCCCAACTGGTGTGTGCAAGAGGGGGGCTCAGCATCCCCAGTGAGTCCAGGACCCAGGGGGGGAAGAACAGGCAGGAAAGGGCCATGAGAGGAGGCATTAGGAGCCCAGGGCTTGCTGGGCAGGAGAGCTGGGGTCCCTACAACTGTCTCTTGCTCACAGCCCTGTTTTGTCCTCCCTATCCAGGAGTGAAATGAAGCGCTGGATGATTTCACTGGCCCCAAACCGGAGAACCAAGTTCGTCTCATTTACATCCAGACTTGTTGGTAAGAGACACAGCATGTGAGCCAGGAGCTCTTCGTCGCTACCCCAGGGAACCTTTTTCCACCCTGATCTCAGTCCAACCCCAGGCCTGGGGCCTCTGCCAAACCCTCTCCCAGGGCTCCCTTCTGTTTCCACCATCAATACCCATCTGTCTCTGGGCCTGGCCCTCGCCTCGGTCTCCTCCAGACGGGGCTGGGCTGCCCCAGCACTCTCCCTCCCACCCAGGCTGCTCACGGAGCGACACTGTGGCGGCGGGGTGCACCCAGCTCCCTTCCCCCAGGGATGTTTCCCAGATCCTTGCGGCTAGGGCACCCCTTGGCCTCTGCAGGGTTTCTTACCAGACGGGAGCTCAGTGTACACTCACCTGAGCCGTGCCATCCTGCAGCGGGCTCCGTCATGGTCCATCCCTCACTCTCACCCTGTTGCCCGGCAGACTGCCCGCAGATCCAGTGTGTCCACCCGTACGTGGCCCAGCAGCCGGATGAGCTGTCCTTAGAACTGGCTGACGTCCTCAACATCCTGGACAAGACAGACGATGGTAAGGGGGGACGGGATGGGGCTGGGCTAGGAGTTCCTGTGTGAGGGTGGGCAGCACTCTAGGGAGGTGGGCAACACTCCAGGGAGTCAGGCAGACAGGGGGGTCCTCTGGCCAGGACAGACCCTGGCAGTGGCATCACAGCCAAGAGCACTACTGCCTTCTCCTAGAACTCAGCAAATCCAGGCTGCCCCAAGCTGTGGCAATGCTGACACAGCTACCCTGGCACTGGCTGCGGGCCATGGTGGGGCTGGCACAGCCACCCCAGATGTAACCTAGAGTTGTTCTGAGCTTGATAATGCTTCCACAGCTGCCCAGTCCTGGTCTCTGGGGCACTCATAGCTGGCAAACTCAGTCACGTTGGATCTCTGCAGCGGACCGCTCCTGTGGCGTCAGGGGCAGCAGAGAGCACTCGCTGGCAGCAGTGCCTGCTTTCTGCTGGCACCCCTTAAGCCACTCCATACACAGTGCTGCTCAGGCGAGCGGGCGTCCTCGGCTAGATTTACAAATTGGGTCCGCTCCAGCACAGGCCTCTGAGCAGCTTCCAGAACGCGCTGCCAGCTCCGTAGGCTCTTCCCAGCACAACTGTCCCAGCGCAGGAGCAAGGGCCAGTCCTTCCCCATTTATGCCTGTCTCTGTCTCTGCTCAGGCTGGATATTTGGGGAGCGTCTTCATGACCAGGAGAGGGGCTGGTTCCCCAGTTCTATGGGGGAGGAGATCCTGAACCCCAAAATCCGAGCCCAGAACTTGAAGGAGTGTTTCCGGGTACACAAGTCAGATGACAGTCAGCGGAGGAAACTGGGCAGCAGAAACCGCCAATGACCGCTGGCATCCCCGAGCATCTGGAGCGCCTCTGGGAGAGGGGCCGAGGACGGGCTGCCAGCTGGGAGGGTGCAGTGGTGGTGCCACGGGCCGCCATGCAGGACCTGGTGTCCCAGACCAGGCACACGCACCCCCAAACAGACAGACTGTAGTTCCTGGGCTCCCCGCCACGCTTCCTGCAGCACCTATCCTTCCCTGGAGATCAGGGCTTCGAACCGGCTAAAACCACCCCTTCGCAGGTGTTCTTAAAGCCCCAAAGAACGCGAGCCAAACAGACACAGCCCGAAGGCCACCAGCTGACCCCTCCCTCCCCGCACGTGAGCCGGAAAGGCACGTGGCCGCAGGCATAACCGAGCTATTAATGTCACCCACTTGGAGCACCTAAGCTCATCGCTACCGTGGGAGTTTGGGGGCCCCTAAAACCATCTCAGTCCCTACCCCCTAAGATGCAGAGGACCTCTCTTGCCGCCGCTCACGCAGCCCGGTGGCACCAGGCTGGGACAAGCCCCGGGAACTCCAACCTACCCAGCACTGCTGTGAAGCCACTGGGCCCATCCCGCCGGCAGACCCTCGGCCCACTTGCGGTCAAAGGCTCCAAAATTCTCCATAGCCTGTCCACTCCACCAGCAGCCCAGCCTCGCCAGCCCTGACCGCTGTCTGCCTGCCTGATGGCGTCAAGGCACATCTTGGCTCTGCCCCATGGCTCACCTCCGCTTCCACAGCCTCCGTCCCTCCGCAGAGTCGCTGCAGAAGCCTGGCACCGTGGCCTTGCCAGGCTGATCCCACACTCACGGCCCCTGCTACTCTTGGCACCGTGGCCTTGCTGGGCTGATCCAACACTCACGGTCCCTGCTACTCACTGCTGCTGAGACGCAGAGCAGGGTGGCTGTGCCAGCGCCTCCCCGCACACCACCACCTACCCCGGGAGCACTGGCAGGGCCAAGTGGCCACGGAGCAGGCGAGTGACATTGCCCCAGGAGCCGTTGGCCCGCAGTAGCTGCCTGCATGTTGTAACCCACAGCACCCAGCTGCACACGCAGCCTCCCTGTACAGGCTCACCTCTGTGTATATACGCAAATCCCCCGTCGCAGCACAGACGGACCACCGCTCCTTCCAGCTGCGGCACTGAGCATCGCATGAAGCCCAGGGCACAGCGCTGAGGCCAGCCAGGGGATGGACCCGCAGCATCTGCCTGTTGTTCAACCGCCTCGCTCCAAACAGCCCCACGCGTGGCCACAGCCGAGGGCTTCTTAGCCACAGGCCGTTCCCGAGCTGCGGCCAGTGTCCATCGGAGAAATCAGTTATTTGGCATCCTTCCACAACACCGCAAAAGAGTCTTCCAGGCGCCATGGCCCGCGTTGCTGTACGCTCCAACTGTGCCACAGTTGTGCTCGAAAAGGGGATGGAGAGCAGTCGCCTGCCGACGGAGCCGCTCGCCAGCCAGGGGCGGAGGAGCACGGCCACGCTGGTGGCAGCGTGGGGAGCCATGGAGACCCCTGGAGCTGGTCTTTGGGCCACGCAGGGCCCCAGTTACATGTGGGGTGTGTAGTGGGGGGCCAGACCCCCCAAGGGAGGGCTGGGGTGTGGTCTGTATGTCACCACAGTCCTGCCCTGGTCACCCGCAGCACCCCAGGGAGAGGGTCCCTGCCACCTGCCAGCACCCAACCCAGAGCTGGGGGCCAGAAAGGGATCGCAGCCTCCAGGCTGCTGCATCAGCCTCGTTTAATGGGACGCCCCCAGTCAGCTTTCTAAATACAGCCAAACCTCCTGCCCAGGGTCCAGACCTTGCAGCACCACAAATTCCCAAATCCCAGAAGAGCTCCAGCTCTAGGAAATCCTTAAAATTACCTGAGAGATCGTCGCATCCAGATCCTGCAGATTCGCAGCCGGCCCAGCCCAGCCCAGCCTCTACAGCCCCACACGCCTGCCGGGATGTTTCTCACGGCACAGAAACGCTCCCCCACCCATCAGAAACGGCCATCCCAGTAGCGGAGGGGCTGATCCAGTGTGAGCACACTGGTTCCTCACTGCATTTCCATGGGGGGAAGAGGGGCTCAGGGCTGCCGTGCACTGTCCTACGACCCATCACCAACTCGCTCCGGCCCCTCTTGCTCTGTCGTGACTTTTAGGACTCCGAACCCTCGTCACAGGCCGTGCCGTTTTCAGGCACCAAGTGGCATCCAGTGTTACTTCCTCAGACCCAGCCCTGCACGCCTCCGTTTCAGTGGTCTCACGTGTTGTACAGGGCCAGGCCTGGGGCCCACAAGGACAATGGAGCCCCCCAGCCGGGCTGCCTCAGCAAACTGAGGGGAACTTCTCGTTGTCTCGTTTTTCCGTGTGATGAAATATAGCTGAGCGAGCCAGCGCCAAAGCAACACGCGTGCATCTTCTTCCTCCCCCACAGCGACTGTTCACCTCCTCCCCAGTCCCTTCCAGTGCGACTGGTGGTAGGCAACTGGCCCAAACACAGGGGGTAGAAGTGGGGCTATATGGGTTGGGGCAAGACCAGGGAAGCATCGGGGTCCTTCCTTCCCAAGGAAAGCTGTGCAAGGTGGTACCCAACACCATTACCGCCACCCAGGCTACACCCAGGGGGCTGCTGCCAGCCCAAAGACACTCACACTGTCACAGGTCCCTCCTGACTGGGGGGTGACGCTGCCTGCCCCAGCCAGGCCTGCCTACCTGCCCCCAGGAGACCTTGGCTAAGAGCAAAGAGCACTTTGGGGTGCGGCTCTGCTGCCCAGCACAGAGGCTGGAGCGCCCTTGGCCACAGCTGGGATTCTCCCCAGGGCGAACGGGGAGCTGGAGCAGTTGAGGGCAGGAGACGGGCCAGATGGGTTACGGAAAAATCTTTTATTGAGTTCAGGAGGCAGAGAACTTCCTCAGCGTGATGACAACCAAGGCCACAAGCACAGATGTACCCAGGAGGGAGGCGATGACAATGGCACCGATAGCTCCGGGCCCCAGCGAGCCTGCAGGGACAGAGAACAAGGTGGCGTGAGGTCAGCAGAGTTGGTGGGTCCCAGACGGGAACGGCCACAGGGGTCACCCCCACACCCAGCACCGCCCCAGCCATCGGGCCACGCTCCTGCCCCAGAGCTCCCTGCGCTGGCCGTGGGGGCCCTGTCCCCACGTCCCCACGCAGCTGAGGGCTCCTGTGCCCCCGTGGCATCGAGCCCTTGGGCAGGGGCTGGAGCCAGCCGCTGTCCCCTCAGCCGGGTCCGGGTGACCGGGACAGCTGCCGCCAAGCAGGTCCTGGCGCTCCACTCTCCTGGTAACACCCGCAACCAGAGTTGCTCTGCTTGCTCCGGAACGGCATCACAGCAGGCACTGCTGTATTTCAGAGGCCAGGACAGGCACTCACGCTCCCTGTTTAAGGAGCTTTAGCCCCCGGAGAGCCCTGCCTACACTCAGGGCACGTTCTGCAGGCGTCTGCCGAGGCATCTGCCATGACGGGTCAGAGCCGGGGCAGGCAGAAAGGCCCTGGCAGGTGCTCTGGGGCTGGTGAGCACTCTGCAGTGGGGGCTTGTTAGCAGGGAAGTTTCCCTGAGCAGACGATACAGGTGCTCTTCCCCCACCCCAACAGCCTCCAACACCTCCTGGGAGGTGACAGAGCCGTAAAGAGCAAATCCAGAGCGAGGATGTCTCAGGCTGATGTGGGATTGACCGGGGGCAGCCCGTCATGCAGGCACCTACCGTCCCCGGCATCCAGCCGGTGCAGGTGGGTGGTGTCCTCAGGCTCCAGCTCGGAGGTGTACGGCGGGAAGGCAGTG